ACAAACAATTTAATTATAGCACCTGCAATGATTTAACTACTGTAAAAATGCATCCCAACTAAATTTATATAGTACTACAATATCTTGCTGCATTATTATCACGCTGACCATAAAATGTTCTGAAATCTGCTGCTGTGGTAAACTCTGTGTTTCTTTCTCACACTTTCTGTAAGGGTTGGTACAATTTCTGAAGGTCGTACAGGTGAATCCAAATTGACTTTCACCAATCGGGTGGAGGGACGTTATGTAACATTGACCCTGCCTGGTTCAGGTAGGATCCTCACACTCTGCGAAGTTGAAGTCTATGGATACCCTGCTCCAACTGGTGAGAATTTGTGCCATTACATATAATGCTATGGAAAAGTATTTGCCCCCTTCCTGATTTCTTAGAGGTGTTTTGTGTATTGGTCACACTTAAATGTTTCAGATCAGCAAACAAATTTTAATACTGGACAAAGGTTACCAAGAACAGCAATCAAGCATTTTGGGATAACTGGATATGACGAACTTTTGCCTACTCTAGGGTTTTCGAGCATGAGGGGCATGTTGAAGGTCATTTTGCAAAGCATCTTAAAGTGATTTAAGTTTAGACTAGGCCACTCAAAAACCTTCCATTGTTTTCTATTAAAAAGTGGACTTGTGGTGGTGGTGGTGTGTTTCAAATCATTGTTCTGTAGCATAACCCAATTGTGCTTGAGCTTCATGGCATTAACTGATGTCCAGGCATTCTTCTTCAGGATTTTCTGGAAGAAAGCAGAATTTATGGCTCCATCAATTACAGCAAGTCTTGGGGATCATCAAGATATTTTTTTGGCAAACGTTAGATGAACTTTTGTGTTTTGTTTAGTCAGGTGTGGTTTTCACCTCTAAAGTCTCCCATGGATGCCATTTTTGCCCAGTCTCTTTCTTGTTGTTGAACACTGACCTTAGCTGAAGTAAGTGAGGCCTGCAGTTCTGTAGCTGTTTTGTTTAGATCTTTTGTGACCTCCTGGATGAATCTGCGATGAGCTCCTAGAGTAATTTGATGGTTCACTGTTCCAGGTTTTCTCTGTTTGTGGATGATGAACCAGGGTTTGAAGGAGTCTCGTTGCCTTACAAATTATTTTGTAACCCAATTAGGGTTACAACCCTTTATGTAACCCCAGTTTGGTTTGGTTAGGGTTATCACTTTAATAAATTAAATAACTTTTTAAAAATTGCATTTTGTATTGTCTCGGATTATCTTTTGATCTGGAATATTTAAGTAATCTAAGAAATCTGGAAGAGGCCAAATACTTTTTCATGACACTGTGAATAAATGTGGACTGCATGTAGCCTTACCTACAAGCTGTGGTATAAACCACAAAGTTTCAGGCTGATAAGCGGTGCTGCTGCAATAAAGGTTTAATCAATATATATTAATGCAAGCTACAAAATTGGGGAAAAAATCTTTAATTGTTGCACATGTACTGCAGCGCTTCAAGTGACTTAACAAACATGACAAACATCATACTTTTTAAAATTTGTCCTTTTTGCAGATGAGAATCTTGCACTCCAAGGAAAAGCCACACAGTCGTCAAGATATTCATTTGGCATTGCATATAATGCCATAGATGGAAATCGTAACAGCAAATGGGAAGAGGCCTCCTGCACTCTCACAAAAAAATCAATGAGTCCGTGGTGGCGGCTTGATTTGCTCAAAACACATAAAGTGTTTTCTGTTAGTATCGTAAATCAAGATTCTCAACCAGAACGACTCGATGGAGCTGAAATCCGCATTGGAGAATCTCTTGAAAACGATGGCAACAATAATCCCAGGTACTTCACATTTCATCATGGCATGTCTTAACAGCTTATACTCTTCTTCTTTCGACTGCTCCCTTTATTGGTCACAGCAGTCAGTGTTGGGAAGGTTACTTTTAAAATGTATTCCACTACAGATTACAGAATACATGCCCCAAAATGTCATTTGTGATGTATTCTGTAACTTATCCTGCAAGTTACTCAGTGTGAGTATTGTATTCTGAATATTTTGGATTACTTAATATATTGTCATGCTTTTTACAACTACATGAATATCCTATTGCTCTGTGATTTATTGCTAATACTGAAGGCTGTTCGCCACCAAGCTAACATTGTTAGCTGGCATTAGCTGAAGTTAGACTGAGGTTAGACTTATTATTTGCAGCTAGCAGGTTGTTAATGCTATCCATCAAGTCTAACAGCCTGCAGTCTATGAACTAACTAACCTGTTGAGAGCAGCTTGGTTCCTGGCAAACAGAGTTTGCATCGTCCATCCCTTTCTTCTTTAAAGCTGAAGTAGTGTCAGAATTTCCACATAAGAAATGCATTTCTGCTCGTTCATAATTAGTGATAATTGGTGATGCAGACAGGACAAACTGAATGAAATGGTGACAACTCCCCACCCTTACTTTTTACTTTTTATCAGGTTATAATTGGAAGCATACTAATATGCTGAGGCAAGTGGGTAATCAGGTCGAAAGTCATAACTAGTCATGATTATAATTGTCATGGTGAGTTTATTTTTGTATAGATGTTAGCATTTAGCCTCACATAATCAACAGTGAGGCTACAGAATAATTCAGGTTTTTAATGAGATTAAAGTGAGAAATTAAAGACTGGAGGAAAAAAACTCACACAATACAGATTTACAAGAAAAACTGATATTTTGTCAGGTTGTAGTCATGAATTTACAAGAAAAAATAATAAAAACATCATCTAGTTTTCATTTTAACAGCATATAGGCATGGTGATGGTCAATGTTTCAATTAATGAAATTATAATAGTGTATGCAGAAGTAATTGAAATAATTCAAGTCAGAGTCAAATGGAAGAGTTGGATCTGAGTGTGCATTAACTATGGCAAACACTCTGAGTGTACATTCATTGTGTGTGTGTTTATCTGACATGCCTGAGATTTGACTCAGTGACTTGATGTGAACTTTTAGGGCCCATTATGAATGTTATATTTGAAACTGAGGCTGAGAGTTGAGTTGTTAAATTCCATGAACAAAACAAGTGTTCTGATCAGAATTAACTAGATCATGTTCTGTTTCTTCTGCCAGGTGTGCCGTGATCACAGGTATTGCAGGAGGTGCTGTTGCTGTTTTCAAGTGCAATGGGACAGAGGGCCGTTACATTAATATCGTCATTCCTAAGAGAAATGAGTTCCTAAGTCTGTGTGAGGTTGAAGTGTATGGCTCGAGACTAGATTAATGCTAAAGCAGCTAAATTTCTCTCTTAAACAAACAAAACAAATCACAGCTTTAATATAATCATGAAAAACAATTGCATCTAATTAAAAAAGCCATAATTTGAACCGCTTTGTTATCCACGATACAGTATAAGTGTTCAGTGATTGTAACATTTTACCAAAGAGTCCTGCAAACACATCAGCTTTAATAGTACTACTTAGCACATATACACAGATAACACTGTATATTAAAAAATTTTCCCATTACTCTTTAGTTAAAACAGCACTTTGTGACAACAATGAAAAACAAACATCAGCCTGCTTATGATGCATTTATTGTCACATGTCGCAATAATAATGTCACAATGTATGTATTTGTTAAGAATGTCTTTACTGAACTTGTGAACTGTGGAAACTTCACTGAAATGAATCATGGTTTTTTCTGTCAGAGAAAAGGAGAACTGATGAAAGGACGTCTCAGTTCTGACTGAACTGTAGAATTTACAGTCATCTGAAAAAAAAAGTATAAGAAAAATGACTTTCCAATTTTTCTTGACAACTAAACATTTGATCCCGTCTTTTAATAAATTTGGTATGAATAAACAATATCACAAGTGAATTTATTTTGTTAATAATTTTTTTTCTATTCTGCAAAAAATATAGATACATTTAATATTCGTCTCTGTAAAGACTAAGTACATATTTAGTCTTAGGAACTAGTACGCCTCCGTTTAAGAGAATAACTTTGTTAACTACATCACTGCTGTAGGATAGCTGTCATTTGAATTGTTTCTGTAGTTGTTTTGATTTTTGGTGAAATTACTGAATGCACAATAGATGTAACTATGTCACTGTCAAATTGATATGATGTGATTATATGATGTTCATAATGTGTATCACCTGGCTGAGATCAGACACACACACACACACACACACACACACACACACACACACACACACACACACACACACATATATATAAATATAATAGTATCACTAAATCACAAGCTGTTTATCTGTTTTCAGACACCAAGATACAGAAGTCACTGAGTATTTGTAATATATAATTTGTTAATATTGTATATTAACACCCAGGCAAGTAAAAAAGTACCACTGAGCAGTTTTACTTGATTTGTTCATATTTGGTAACACTACACACGTTAAGGCAGTATCGATGGTAGATGGGTTTAGGATTTCAGAAAAAGTTCCTTTCTACAGCTTGTATCTTGTTCTTTTGGTCACTATGCAAAGTTGATAGTCCCAGGTGAGGTTAGAATTAAACTAGCCACAAAACACTTTCACCTTCTTGCTCAGCTTTCTCTTCATCACGAGAGACACCACAGCTCCGATCTGTCTGTACATCAAGTAACTTGCTTTGAAACCCAGGAAAGGTGAACTCCACACTGTCAAAAAAGAAATGTGTGTCATTTTAGGGAGCATACAACAAATACTTTTTGTTAGGATGCATAATCTGTCTGTTCAGGAGATAAGAGTTGATTCAAGTAATTACTCAGTTTTTTCATTTCATTCAGTTATTTTAATCTGGTTTATAGATTTTTCTTCAGCATGCTAAAAACGGACCTCTTCAAGCCCATTTGAATAAAAAATAAGGTGATATATGAGAAAAGATTATATTAATCAATATTGTTCACTTACAACATTCATTTTTTAATCAATTTAAGGTTAAACAAACAAACAAAAAAGAACTGAAAAGAAAATGTGCTTATCTTCCAAAAACAATTCAAAGTAATCCTACACTTTTGAGCAATAGTGCATGATTAAATCTTGAGTAATAACTGCAAACAGGATATTGCAAAATAACCAGGAAAACATCTGTGTTCTGGCACGCTGGCTGGAAATATAATTCACAAGTATGGAAGTGAAACTGATGTGCATGGGGCACAAACCAGTGGGAAGTAATTGGACAGTGTTGAGAAGGAATATGATATATTTTCTGCTGAGGGAAAGGCAGAAATGCATACAAAAAACAAAAGATAAAAGAAATATCATCAGTAGCAGCTTTTCTGATTCACTGACAGTCCCAAGGGAAACAGTATCTGCTTTGTTCGGATCTTCAGGTAAGACTTTTTATTTCTTGAAAAAATAAAATCTTGATACAAACTTTTCTTGACATAAACCTCCGTGTGCAGATTTCTCTTTTCTCACCGTCTGAATATAGAATGTACACGGTTACATCGTCAATTTACAGCTGTGAACTTTTCTTTTTCTATTTTGAATTTCTGGTTAAACTTTTTTTGTTGTCAATTGCTTTTAGAGGCCAATCTACTTAAAAAAGAATCGATGCTTAAATCGACAGTTTATTCACGTCAGCATATTTTTTGGCAGCTTTCAACCATCCAATGGGGATTGGAGCATGCAAAGATATTTAGTAGTAGCAGTGCTCACAGAAAAATGCTATTTAGGTTGTTTTATTTAAAGATTTTCACGTGTGTTTTTGCACAAAAGCTTCTCTTAACTGGTGTTGAAAACATAAAATACCTAACAGTTTATTTTCTGTTTCTTTTGAAACCAGAATGATGAAACGGAGTGTTTTCATTTTGCTGCTCCTCCTGAGGACGACTTTGGCTTCTACTTATCGTAAGTGTGATGTTAGAGTCAGTGTGAGATGTGTGTCAGTTATGATTTTGTGTAATGACATCCATCCATCCATCTGTGGAATGCAGTTTGTGGGGTTAAGTTAATTGGTGATTCTAAATTGCCCATAATTGTTGTCTGTCTCTGTTTCTTAGCCATGTGACAGGCTGGCAACCTGTCAATGGTGTACCCTGCCTCTCACCCTATGGTAGCTGGGATAGTCTGCACCCCCCCACCCCCCCACCCCGCCCCGATACACCCACAAAGCCAAGTCCTCTTCATAAAAAGTGTAAATCCAGCAAGCAAACAAACCAAGAACTTCATAGTGCACAACATAGTAGTCTTAGAACTAAAATGCCCCCCAAAGTCCAGAAATGCTTTTTGTATAAACTGTATTTTATTCTTTCTAAGCCCACCTACTGCCCCTTCCCCAACAATCCTATTATCTTTTTGGTATTTAAAATGCCAAAAAGTGTGGACATTAATTTCTAGTCATCTCAGATAAACAGCTTCACCCGCCTGACATTCAGCCAACCAACCAGAAGAACGACCTTAAAATGAGGGTGGCTGTAAATGAAGAGGAGCTCAGACAGGTTGTTTCAGAGAGTAGATAAATGGAGGGGCTGCGACGAGGCCTGGCCAACATGTTCTCATCATGTATCAGATACTGTTAGCTGTCACCAGTCTCCAATGTCAACATACAACACCATCAGGGAGACTGTGGAGCACATTCTGATTGCAGCGTTGTCTTACTCACTTAATTTACACTTGCTTGTTTCAATGATGCTTTTTACTTTGCTGAAACTTAACTACTAAAAAACTATTTTCTGCCAGATTGAGTGCAAGAGCCAATTAGCCTGAGGTAACAATTACAAAAAACTGTGATAGCAGTGGAACGTTTTGTTTTTGTTGTTGTTTTCATTTGATCTTTTTTATACATTGTAACGATCTAATTCACAGAAAATCTGGCTACACGTGGTAAAGCAACTCAGTCAACCTGTTACCCGCATGCTAGGGCATCTGCCCTTAATGCAATTGATGGAAACCGCAATTCTGACTTTATGGCGGGGTCGTGCACACACACTAATGAACAGACAAATCCCTGGTGGAAAGTGGACCTGCTTCAGTCCTACGTCATCACTTCCATCACCGTCACTAACAGAGGAGACTGCTGTCATGAAAGGCTCAACGGGCTGGAGATCCACATTGGCAACTCTTTGGTCAATGACGGTTTAGATAACCCAATGTAAATATAAACAAATACGTAATTATCAGCAATATTTTGATTCTTTTGTTTTTCTTTTACTCTTTCCTCGGCATTTTTCTCATCTTATCTCTGCAATATTTGGTTATTTGGGGTTTTTCTTTTAAAGATATAAGAAGATAGTCTGCTTATTTATAGCCAACAACACAAAATGACAAGCAAACAAAAACCAGCAATCTTTATATTTATAGGGTTTTTTTGTATATGAATATGTATATATATGGAAAATGTCTGTTACAGATAGTTAAAGGCACAAATAATACTATAAAAATACATCCCAACTTGATTTACGGGGTAAAAAAATCCAATATACTTTTGAGCAGACCTGGATTTGTTGTATTACCATGCTGAAAATTAAATGTTCTGACCTCTGCTGCTGTAAACTATTTAACTCTCACATTTTCTGTTAGGGTTGGTAGAATTTCTCGAATTCGTTTGGGCAAATCCTTCGATCTGACTTTTACCAATCGTGTGGAGGGACGGTATGTAACTTTGACTGTGACCGGTTCACGAAGGATCCTCACACTCTGCGAAGTGGAAGTCTATGGATACCCTAGTCCAACTGGTGAGAATATGAGCTATTATATCATTTAATGTGGACAGTAATTAATATATCAGCAAGCTGTGGTATAAACTCAAAATCTTAGGTTGATAAGAGTTAATATCACTTTTTTTTTCACTTGAAACTGAAAAAAAAAAATCAACTTTTCGCATTATCACAATTTGCTACACGCAACAAACATCACAGTTACTTTTTTGTTCTTTTTTCAGAGGAGAATCTTGCACTCCAAGGAAAAGCCACACAATCCTCACTGTATGCATTTGGCAACGCATTTAATGCCATAGATGGAAATCGTAACAGCAAATGGGAAGATGCCTCCTGCACTCTCACACAGAAATCAATGAGCCCTTGGTGGCGACTTGATCTGCTCAAAACACGTAAAGTGTTTTCTATTAATATAGTAAATCAAGATTCTCTTCCAGAACGACTCAATGGAGCCGAGATCCGCATTGGCGATTCCCTTCGCAACAACGGGAACAACAACTCCAGGTAGCCCGTTTTAGCTATGCCCGTGCTGCATTTCAACACATCTTACAGCTACTGCAGTCTTATTGCTGACAAAAGTAATTCATGCACTTATTTTCTTAACCCCTAGATGCATAAGTGGGTCAAAAATGACCCGCATTCATTTCCTAATAAATTGCATGGGAATGTTTGATTCTTATAAACTATGACTGTCAGGAATATACATTTTTTGGACCACAAACAGTGCCACTCTATATGAAGATTACTTTGCACAGCACTAACAGACAGCATTAATTCAGCATTCAGACAGCGATTCACCTCCCTGTGATGTGTCACTGACAAGCAGCTTGTGCCATGTGTACATGGCATACATTGGGGTAGAGATGTGATGTGATTTGTTAGTCTTCAAAGGACATCCGTGGAGTTCAGTGAGCCAGAACACCACGGACAAATAATTTGTCCTGACTGGGATTAACAAATTAAATTTCTGTTTCCTCTGATAGGTGTGCTGTGATCACAAGCATCGCTGGAGATGTTGTTGCTAAGTTCACATGCAATGGAACGGAAGGCCGCTATGTTAATATTGTCATTCCCGACAGAGAAGAGTTCCTGAGTCTGTGTGAGGTCGAAGTGTACGGCTCTAGGCTGGATTAAGACAAGAGAAAAACAAACACAAAGCTTGCACACTGCAGACGTTTAATTGGGTATTTATTGCATCTTGCATAGATCAAAACAGTAGATTAATAAATAGAACATTGATTAGTCACTTATGGATCATACATTATAAAAGTTTGGAAACTTAGAAGAAAAAATGTATGCTAGATTAGAACTGTTACAGTAAAATAATTACTTTGATTCTATGTAAAACATGTTTGTTGTTTGTGCCTACTGACTGTTGATTCAAGTAAAACAATGTGATATTCTAGTACGTGACATTAGTGTGTAATTACAGTACTCTTGATTTTTCGACTTCTCAGTTCTCACTGCTGTTGCTTTTTGTTGGATTTTTTGTTTGTTTCATCATAAGCATTTCATATGCTGTAACAATCTCTGCTCCAAGAAAAGTCTGAATTTAATCACTGCAAAAATTACATTATTTTAAAATTCTTGTTGTACTGTCTAATTTTATCAGCTTTAGTCTTGAGCATGACCCCTTTTTTTATGCTGAAATTTCAATGCGGATCATCAAGAATGAGATTACCATACTGGGCTCAGGTTAACAACCACCACATCCGGTGCTGTTGGCCAACAGAGTTGCAGTGGAAACTTGGTAGTGTTGACCAAAGACAAAAGACAAAAGTAAGAAGAACAATGGAAGATGGTTTTGCAGAAAGTGAGTGAGAAGGAAAGGTAGGAGTGTGGGTGTGACAATAGAGACTTTATACAGGAAGATGGAAAGAGCTGGCTGATATGATGGATAGATGACATAACTGTAGAGGTATGGAGGTATGGAGATGGACAGTGGACTTTTTAAACAACTTTAACACAATCTGGAAACGTGAGAGGACACCTGAGGAACAGGAAAGACGTGTGCTGGTGCTGATTGTCAAGAGCACAGCGCTGTACATCACCCTCTTCGCTAGGGATAAGTTTCATGAGCCATGCCATGAAGATATGGGAAAGAGCTGTTGAAGCTCAGTTAAGACGAGAGGTGATGATCAGCAAGCAGTAGTATAGTTTTCTTCCAAGAAAGAGCACTATAGATGGGCTGTTTGTTTTGAGAGAGCTGATGGAGAAGTTTTTGTGGACGTAGGGTAAGAATATGATGATGTACTGCACGAGGAAGAGGAAGGATAGCGGGGCAATGGGCAATGGATGTTCAACCTGCCAGGCAGGAGGAAAAGAGGAAGACGTCAGAGGTGGTTCATAAATTTAGTGAAGTAGAAAACCTGTCACATGTGGCAGGGGAGTGTGGTGGAGAAGAAAATGACTGAAACAATAACATCATACAGTTGCTGCAGATTTGTTGGCTTATGTGTTTCAGTTGGGAAAATGGAGAAGTCACAGTATATGTCATGTTGAAACACCCGGGCAAGTGAAAATGTGCAGCTAGGCATTTTTACTTTTCACTAGAAGTTTGTGGCTTTTCTGGTACTTCTGCATATTTGTGCTTAAGCTGCATTATCAGCTGCTTAACATATTTAACTACTTTTATCTGATTTAAGTTCAGTCTGAACTTTGATCATTGATGGCTCTCTTCTATAATTTCTAATTCCCACTCTAGAACCACATCCACACATTTTCATTAAAAACACTGTTGCTGTTGCCAAAGCCTAGCACATGTACAACTCCAAATATACTGGGCCCAATACTGGAATCAATGATGTCAGTACACATGAGAGGGGCAACAAAGTCTACCAGTAACTGGCACATGAAGTCCATAAATCCTGTAGATTTTCCTCATTGAAATTGCAAAACATGCTCTGGATCCTGTCATGGAAAATATGTGTGTTTAGATTTTTTTTTGTAAAATAACCTCAGGCACAGACCCCTCTATTGAGTGAACATTTTTGAGCATTATTTCATTGTTTCAATGGAAAATGTTTTCATTATGTAGAAAAACAGAAACAGTTATTGGTGCCCTGGAACCTTTATCAATTTTCTGAAAGCTCGAGGCGATCCCGAACTTTTGAACAACAGTGTGTGACGCAAGTACAAGAACAAGGATGTTGCAAAATAATCAGTAAAAAAAAAAAAATCAAAAAAATCTGCATTACTGTGTTAGAAAGTTAGGTCATGACTGGAAGTGGAACACAGATGCCTGGGAACAAACCACTGGGTCGTGAATAGACAGAGTTGAAGAGGAATATGAGATCAATTTTAATGTTTGGTTTGGTGTGATTCAGCTGAGAGATGAGATGCATTGATAAAAACAAACAGAAATAGCAGCTTTTGTTTCAGGAAAAAGGCAACTGCTTTGTCCGGATCCTCAGGTAACACTTTTCTTTCTTTTATTTATGAAAAGCACAGTTAGAAATGACCATCTGTTACAGACAAAAAGAGGAACTCAATTGTAAGATCACTTTCCAGTATAAATCCCCATCTGTATAGCAACTTATTTTTTTTCTTTGAAAAGAAAACATTGAATGGCAACCTGATTTAACAAATAAATGGTGTCTGCTAGAGACTTTACTTCTAGTATTTCTTCAGAGTCTACAAATTGTGCATATTGCTTCCCACCATTTAAGGAAGAAACCTGGAAAAATATTGTTTTAAAGCCTTTGACTCTCACTGACCAGATTCCACAGGGAAAAAAGAGATAGACTTAGCTTATTTCTGAAGAAAGAGTCCTAATGGAATATACTTACAGTAATAACTAATAACTAGGAACTAGAAAGGACTAAATATTGTTTGTTCTCAACAGATATCATCTTTCTTAACCAGAATAATGAAAACAAGTGTTTTCCTTCTGCTGCTCCTCTTAAGAACGAGTTCGACTTCCACTTATCGTAAGTGTGACATGAGAGTAATGTCTTAAATGTTAAAAATGGCGTATCAGCATCATACAAAATGTCCTTTAGCAACAGTCCTTGCCTCAGTAGCTATGAAAATGCCTGCTGCCAAGAGATAATACTCCTGATTTAAAAATCCACAAATGCTTAAGTGGGGGGTTATCACATAATTCAAAGATTTACATAATGCTAATTAACATGAGGCCTTAATGACAAACAAAAAATCACCTATGAGATTGGAAAGTTGTGCAGATGATCTACTGATGTGTGAAAAATGCTGGTGCAGACAGTTTATTTCTATAATATAGCAAAGTACAAAGTACAGGTATTTTCTGTATGTTTTTAATCGCCAGTAAAAAAGACAGGCAATGGGAAAGGAATTTATGCATTCTGATACAGGAGTGAAAAATGAAATCAGAAATCTATGGAAACTATGAGAAATCAGACTACATGCAGATTTAATCCACAGAAGGGTTACGCTATTGCAAACGACTCAACTGAAAACTTTGCAAATCAACAAACTAACTGCATGCGTAGAGAAAAACAGAATATTATTTACTGACACATTCAGAGTGGTCTGCTTGTAGGAGTCTTGTAAAATAATTATACTGACATGCTTGTTCAAAATACATTATAATATCAAATAATGTATCTTTATAATTTGACTGTCTGGACTGCTTAAAGTATTGGTGTTATTTTCTCCAAGACGACTAGTTTTGGACTTTCACAACTCTGGCAGCAAGTGCCTATAAGTAATTCATATACAGTATATTTTGGTTTTTAGAATTGTGTTCTGCATAAAAGTTTGTGGTTTATGTTGTCCTGCTGTAAAAGCTAGACTGACCTTTCTGAAGGTCATACTACAAAACAAACCTGTCTTGCATAAGCTAACTCAGAAAGGAAATAATTATAATACTTTATTAATTCCAGTAGAAATTAGGTCACATAAATAAATACCTCATAACTCATGTGCAACAACTTAGATGCTTGGGCAGTTTTGCTGTCTGTTTGAATGTCTTTCCTATTATTTTATCTTATTTCTGTGACTCCCTAATTCACAGAAAATGTGGCCTTGCGTGGTACAGCAGCCCAGTCGATCTCTGAGGACCACGTCCTCTCAGCTGCCCACAATGCAATTGATGGAAACCGTAACTCTGACTTCAGGGCGGGATCGTGCACACTCACTAGTGCACAGAACCGTCCCTGGTGGAGAGTGGACCTGCTTCAGTCCTACATCATCACTTCTGTCACCATCACCAACAGAGGAGACTGCTGTCATGAAAGGCTCAACGGGCTAAAGATCCACATAGGCAACTCTTTGAACAACGAAGGTTTAGGAAACCCAAAGTTAGTACAAATAAAGAAAAAAATACAATCAATTTATACAGAGAGATTTTTTATCTTTTATTTAGCCTTTTTCTGTTTCTCTTGGTGTTAGCGATCTTGGCTTACCGCTGTCTTTCAAACTGGATCAGTGATAGCAGTAGAGGTTGTTCCTTTGTTTGTCAGTTTTGAGAAAAGGGTTTATATCTCTGGACATGTGGTTATAGTTAAATCAAATATTGATAGTCTGAAAGCGGACAGTTAACAGTTTTGAAGGCTCAACATCTGTTACTTCATTTGCCATCATTTTTGCTCTATAACTTCCGGCTGCTTGCTACAGATATACCACTACTTAAAAATACATCTGAGCAGTATAAAGTCTGATTTGCTCTAAAGTTTGGCCCACAATTTGTTGGATTGACACAATTTTTGTGTCAGTCAAACCAATTTTGGAATTGATTTAAAACAGCTAATTGATATGTCAATGAAGTTAAAACTTCCAGATTTAATTTAAGGGAATAAGTGTATATGAATTATAACGATTTTTAAACACACATTTTCAAAGTCTCATAAGTTAAAGCTTGGCAGGCAGTTTTATGGCCAGGTTAGGCCTGTTCCCCGAGACTCCCTGAGGCTTTTTGTAGTAATTTTAAATATAAGACCGAAAACCATATTATCTGAAAATATACTGGAGGCAATCTGATGGTATAGGCAGTGTATGACTGAGAGTGTTTGAAGATGTTACTGCCATTTGAAGCAGCTGGATGAATCTTGAGGCATACAGGGTACAGAACTGCAGAACTCGTCAGATTCAGCTAAATACTGTAAAACTTACTGGACACTGTCCAAATGGACAGTGAAAAACTGAAGGCAGATAGACCCAGAAACAAGCAGCAACTGAAGGTAGCTGCAGTAAAGGCCTAGCAGAACATCTCAAGCAACTAAACAGCACTTGTTGATGTCCATGGGTTGTAGACGTCAAGCAGTTGTTCATTGTAAGGGGTTAAAAACAATCCTTACTTTTAAAATTATGTTAGTTTGTCCAATTAATTTTTAGCCTGTGATAATATATGTATTAAGACAGATGTAATTCCTAAACAACGATGTAATTTTAATCTTAAATCCCTTGAACCAAAGCTGAAAGCTGCATATCATTTGATTTAAAAACCTACAAAATGTCCAACAACTTATGGAACCAACTGTATTACTGACAATCACATGTTCTAATATGTTACCCTGGTAAGCTACACACAAGGACACTAAAGCTATATATCCTATATTTCTCTCTCACACACTTTTTGTTAGGGTT